CGACGGGCTGACCCTGAGATTTAGGACTAATTGAAGCGACGCTGTTGTCCACTAATTGGCTTTATTCAACAGTACATCGAGCCATGACGGCGATGTAGAACAACAGTATCACGACGATTAGAGGTGAATAATGAAACAAACCAAAAAGGAAAACAAAACTGTAAAAAACTATAGCCCTAAAACAAATGTAAACAAAAAGTTACATCAATGATAATACCACGTGTAGGCTACAAACATACACGGATGCAATAAAATATGTTGCGGCCAGTACACAGCACTGCCAACAAGTACCTATAAGTAGTACAACAATAAATACCTAAATAACTCTCAACCTAACTAATGTGCAACATGCAGCACTAGCAGGAATACACAAATAAGTATTCTAACAATAAACATACTTTATATACCCACACTACCTTCATTAGGTCTACATTATTATGTCTACCTCTAGGTACCGTCACTCTCCGTGCCCACAGACAGCAGCCTTGTGTGTGACTGACACGTTAGGCACGAACTACCCATAATCCCAAGTCACATGACATGGGACACAGGTAAAATCGCTCACAGCAGAGCATGCAAAACAACTAAATCAACAGTTCAGTTGCGGTCCCACAGGGGCCGCAACCCAATGAATTAAAACTTTATCTTATCCCCCCCCCTTGGCTGGTAACCATATGTGTTACATAATAATGCACTAAAAAGTAGAAAATAAATTATACACTACTATTTAAATAACTATAAAGAAAAGCGTGGGTCTCTTTAGTATCTATTGGATACCTTTACTAATATTTAGATAGAGACCCACGCTTTTCTTTATAGTAATTTAAATAGAAGTATCTAATATTTTGGAAGAGACCCACGCTTTTCTTTATAGTTATTTAAACAGTAGTGTATAATTTATTTTCTACTTTTTAGTGCATTATTACATAAAAGCTTGTTATTAAAACGTTTTTTTATTATTTTTTTTATTTTCTACTTTTTAGTGCATTATTACATAAAAGCTTGTTATTAAAACGTTTTTTTTAATGAATTTTTTTAGTACTATACATGTTTTATTTACAATTGTTACATGACTAAAAACCATTGTCAAGTTTATAGCAAAAGTTTCAGTAAAATATTATGGGATGGCGTAGTCTAGTGGTAAAGAACTAGACTGCTGACCCGACTAAAAACCATCGCGCGCCTATTGAACGTGATGACGCGCTTTTGACGTAGAGCCCCCCTCGCTCCAAGCCCAACACGGCCGTGATGACGCGTGTGGATAGAACTGCCTACTAATTCGGTCCACATTTTAATTAATTCATACAAAATTAATTAGGCATCCAATTAAGTCAAATTTAATGTCACAATGCATTGTCTTCATGTCTTGACCCACGTACCAATTACGAACCGTATATGTCAGTTAGAAGTGTCCGAATTTTTGCTCCGGCGTTTCGATCTAGACTGACGACAGACTGACGACAGAGGAAGTGAGTTAAATAAAAGCTTGTAAAAACAGCAAAGTTTTTATATCTTACGAACCACTTTTGTGTTCTATTCGACGTATGAGCAGAACACATCAGAAAAGTAAAATATGATACGGCAATATAAAACCAAACCTCTCAAGCGACTGCTGAATAAAACCAGGAAAACTGAAAAATTAGATAAAGACGCTGTGTCACATGAAAAACTTGAACTTTACAATATAGTATGGCAACAGGCATATGTAAAAGTTTAGTGCCTTCTATTATGCAAAGAAAAAAATTATTTTACCTAATAACTACACAGGCGTTAAGAATTTACACATCAATCATTGCAAAGAATAGTATTTATAAAATAGACATTTTTGCCTCTAAATCTTTGGCTATCTTATGTGCTAATAGATCACAGGTTACAATCGGTCTTAATCTGTGTTTTTCTCGGACATTTTTCTCCAAGGGGAACGCAATGGAAACTCTCCGAGGTGAGGGAAAGTGTAGGAGCACTTAAAATATACCGATTAAGTATAGATTTTCTATACTAAATATCCGGCGGGGTTGAGGGGTAGAGATGTTATATTTTCTTTTTAAGGCGAATTAGAATAGCATTGAGTATAAGTGGAATCTCGATGAGTGTTGTTTTATTTGCAACATACAAATATGAACATAATTACTGAGAGTGAAAATGGATTTTCTCTATAAGTGCGATTTTTATATTATTTCACAACATATCAAAAGACTAAATTATATCCTGAGGATTTTGATCGCATTGACTTCCCTTGACAAACCACTCTTTTATGTTGTAAATTTTAGGCTCTATTTTCTTTGTGTTTAGAGCTTTACATAAAGTACACCCTGCCGTCTTTAGATAGTCGTCTGTTTCTCTATAGAGATCTATGTGTTCTAAATACTTGCTGTAACTCTCAATATCTGAGCCCAGTTTTAACAGAAATAAAGCCAAATCTTTGGCCGTTCTAAAATTGGCCGCGTTAATGAAAGTATTCTTGGGTCACGATACCCCGACGTAAATTCAGTTAAATTGCTGTGCACTTACAGTATTAAAATCAGTTCATTGCTTCTTATCAAATCTGTAACACCTTATGTTACTAAATCGATATAAAACCTTGTGCACACACGCTACGCAGTGAATCAACTACTTCATGCAGTTGCCATTAATCGCAGTCGTGGATGTCCTGAAATTAATCTCCTATATTGACAATCAATATGTCAATGGTCTCTTTATAATATACATGTACTCATTTATATGTATATATATATATATATATATATATATATATATATATATTTATATTTATATTTATATATAATTTATCTGTATGCATGTATGCTAAATTATCGTTCCTCCCTCTGCGTAATAAAAGTTAAGAAAAATAAAAATTTCATAAAAAACGTTTTAATAACAAGCTTTATGTAATTGTAACTCTCGCTCAGTGGGAATGCTTTTACCCACTGAGGTGTTGTAGTTACGACGGGCTGACCCTGAGATTTAGGACTAATTGAAGCGACGCTGTTGTCCACTAATTGGCTTTATTCAACAGTACATCGAGCCATGACGGCGATGTAGAACAACAGTATCACGACGATTAGAGGTGAATAATGAAACAAACCAAAAAGGAAAACAAAACTGTAAAAAACTATAGCCCTAAAACAAATGTAAACAAAAAGTTACATCAATGATAATACCACGTGTAGGCTACAAACATACACGGATGCAATAAAATATGTTGCGGCCAGTACACAGCACTGCCAACAAGTACCTATAAGTAGTACAACAATAAATACCTAAATAACTCTCAACCTAACTAATGTGCAACATGCAGCACTAGCAGGAATACACAAATAAGTATTCTAACAATAAACATACTTTATATACCCACACTACCTTCATTAGGTCTACATTATTATGTCTACCTCTAGGTACCGTCACTCTCCGTGCCCACAGACAGCAGCCTTGTGTGTGACTGACACGTTAGGCACGAACTACCCATAATCCCAAGTCACATGACATGGGACACAGGTAAAATCGCTCACAGCAGAGCATGCAAAACAACTAAATCAACAGTTCAGTTGCGGTCCCACAGGGGCCGCAACCCAATGAATTAAAACTTTATCTTATCCCCCCCCCCCTTGGCTGGTAACCATATGTGTTACATAATAATGCACTAAAAAGTAGAAAATAAATTATACACTACTATTTAAATAACTATAAAGAAAAGCGTGGGTCTCTTTAGTATCTATTGGATACCTTTACTAATATTTAGATAGAGACCCACGCTTTTCTTTATAGTAATTTAAATAGAAGTATCTAATATTTTGGAAGAGACCCACGCTTTTCTTTATAGTTATTTAAACAGTAGTGTATAATTTATTTTCTACTTTTTAGTGCATTATTACATAAAAGCTTGTTATTAAAACGTTTTTTTATTATTTTTTTTATTTTCTACTTTTTAGTGCATTATTACATAAAAGCTTGTTATTAAAACGTTTTTTTTATGAATTTTTTTAGTACTATACATGTTTTATTTACAATTGTTACATGACTAAAAACCATTGTCAAGTTTATAGCAAAAGTTTCAGTAAAATATTATGGGATGGCGTAGTCTAGTGGTAAAGAACTAGACTGCTGACCCGACTAAAAACCATCGCGCGCCTATTGAACGTGATGACGCGCTTTTGACGTAGAGCCCCCCTCGCTCCAAGCCCAACACGGCCGTGATGACGCGTGTGGATAGAACTGCCTACTAATTCGGTCCACATTTTAATTAATTCATACAAAATTAATTAGGCATCCAATTAAGTCAAATTTAATGTCACAATGCATTGTCTTCATGTCTTGACCCACGTACCAATTACGAACCGTATATGTCAGTTAGAAGTGTCCGAATTTTTGCTCCGGCGTTTCGATCTAGACTGACGACAGACTGACGACAGAGGAAGTGAGTTAAATAAAAGCTTGTAAAAACAGCAAAGTTTTTATATCTTACGAACCACTTTTGTGTTCTATTCGACGTATGAGCAGAACACATCAGAAAAGTAAAATATGATACGGCAATATAAAACCAAACCTCTCAAGCGACTGCTGAATAAAACCAGGAAAACTGAAAAATTAGATAAAGACGCTGTGTCACATGAAAAACTTGAACTTTACAATATAGTATGGCAACAGGCATATGTAAAAGTTTAGTGCCTTCTATTATGCAAAGAAAAAAATTATTTTACCTAATAACTACACAGGCGTTAAGAATTTACACATCAATCATTGCAAAGAATAGTATTTATAAAATAGACATTTTTGCCTCTAAATCTTTGGCTATCTTATGTGCTAATAGATCACAGGTTACAATCGGTCTTAATCTGTGTTTTTCTCGGACATTTTTCTCCAAGGGGAACGCAATGGAAACTCTCCGAGGTGAGGGAAAGTGTAGGAGCACTTAAAATATACCGATTAAGTATAGATTTTCTATACTAAATATCCGGCGGGGTTGAGGGGTAGAGATGTTATATTTTCTTTTTAAGGCGAATTAGAATAGCATTGAGTATAAGTGGAATCTCGATGAGTGTTGTTTTATTTGCAACATACAAATATGAACATAATTACTGAGAGTGAAAATGGATTTTCTCTATAAGTGCGATTTTTATATTATTTCACAACATATCAAAAGACTAAATTATATCCTGAGGATTTTGATCGCATTGACTTCCCTTGACAAACCACTCTTTTATGTTGTAAATTTTAGGCTCTATTTTCTTTGTGTTTAGAGCTTTACATAAAGTACACCCTGCCGTCTTTAGATAGTCGTCTGTTTCTCTATAGAGATCTATGTGTTCTAAATACTTGCTGTAACTCTCAATATCTGAGCCCAGTTTTAACAGAAATAAAGCCAAATCTTTGGCCGTTCTAAAATTGGCCGCGTTAATGAAAGTGTTCTCCGGAAAATATTTCTCGTAATCGATTTTTCCTCTCACAACTGGGACAACGTGGATGTCTTTGTTAAAAAGTTTGAAAAATTTCTCCGTGACGTAATCTTGACAGAGAGAGTTCTCAAACGACAGGTAGAATTTATAGGTGGGAGTCAGTGACTCTATACAAGGTGGTTTTTCGTCACAAGATTTCCCACAGCCACCCCTGACGTCAACATCGATGTATTTCTGTATGATATAGAAACATTGATAAATGTTATTTATTAATTTTCTATTCTTAGTTACTCAATTCAATTTTATTTATAGACAATAACGTGTTAATCAATATTATTTATTTATTTACTATATTTAGTTAAATGACATTTATTAAACTGAAGATACTGGAAAAAAATTATTTAAATTAAACCTAGGATGTCTACAAACTCAGACCGCTTAAGAGATATTTGAAATACTTTAAGACAAAGTGAACGTTTTCAGTGACCGGAAATTTATGTTATTCTATAACGTTAATACACTATGGACACTTATGGACGTCCTACAGTGGATCAAACAAACGCTCTTGGACGTTGTACAAACGTGTGAAACAAATTGACAAACTACAAAGGGTAAAATATTCGATGGTTAAATGACATAATGTCTAACATGAAAGTGACGAAATGTTATTCTGTTATACATGGTTCATAATCAATAAAACCTACCCTCATTTCCTTGATGTATTCGTATCTCTTTGACTCCACTAGACAATGACCACACAGCCACATCACTGATCTTGTTTTATTCCTCGCTATCTCCCCTGAGAGAAGAGCACACGTTTTTAAGTCAATTTTATTTATTTTAATGCCTCATCTATATTTTATCTACACCATGTTTTTATTTCTACCAACATTTGAAAATAAAACTTGTTAACCCGAAAGTCTCGAGTTCAGACAACCGGATCCTCGGGACGTCTCTGAGTCTACCAAGCTCTAACGGGTACCTGACTCATGTTAGAGAAATTAATTTGGGTGGAGCATAGTATTGAAGTATGCCGAGCTAACCAAAACAGGCCAACTCTAATTCATCTGCTTTATGGACCACCAGGTTCAGAAGAGTAATTATACTTTTACTAGCACATGACGGTATTTAATCGTCAGTTAACAATCCTACATTAATTATATGGTCTTAGGTGCTTTGATCACAGGTGCTTTGACCATAAGGGTTTTGACCATAGGGGGTTTGACCCCGCTGTGGCCAAAGCCCCTAGGGTCAAACCCCTTATGGTCAAAGCTCCTCTGTGGTCAAACCACCTATGGTCAAACCCCCTATGGTCAAAGCACCTAATTAGTTAACCAACTTACGGTAATTAGGGCGGTCAGCTAAAGGTTGTGGCTGAAAGGCCAGTTTTGAGTACGGTGTGAAGACATCAGAGTCCACCCTGTACGTCATAGATAAGTTGTAGGCCGTCTCCCAAGGTGATCCTTCCTCTGGACACACAGGTTCAAGTTATATTTTATTTAATTTGTATTTTCCATGACAATAGGGCTTGTAAGTAGGTCACAACTTCTCGTTCTCGTAATTGCTAGTTAGTAGATTTCGATACCGTAGACTTACAAGCCCAATATGCTGCCTATTTTATAGTGTAAACAGTTGATGTAACAGCTAGTATTTTATCGATCAATATTTGTTTAACGGGCTTTAAAAGATTAACGTAGGGAGATTGCCTTGTGTTTAATCGTGAGGGTAAATACAAGGATTAAATATATCAGACACAAATCATTAAGGCGTACTATTTTATTTAGCTTTTAGTTGAAGATTAGATATACTTTTTATTATGTATTATTTAATCTTTAAAATATCTGAATTATAATTCATTATAAAGGGGTTGGCTTGATCGAGCCCAAAATATCTCATGGTGACTAAACTGAAAAGTCCCGAGTTCGATCCCCTGGTATATAAGGATCTATAGCTAACTTGGGGGAAAACTTAAAATATGGTACATAACAAACTGACGCGTATTACTTAATTGTGTTGGAGGAAATCCCTTTCAACATTGCCAAAAAGAAGGAAAGAAAGAAACGTTGTTTATCATGTTAAAAAAACTAATTTCCTTGGTTATTGTTAAAATTGTTCTAAACCAAACAACTAAATAAGATATAGTGATCAGATATTTAACCTTATTAAAAATCTGTACTTATCAAAATCATATCCAATTACTTTAATTGTTACGACAAACTTTCTTCGGCATAAAGTATGACAGGACAATACATTTCAGAAACAAAACAATTCACAAACAAAATGTTTGGAAAACAATATAAATAATTATCTCAAAAAGAGGACGGCGTGTTAGGATGGTAGAGCTTAGCACTAAACTGTCGGGTTCCGAGTTATCCCAGCTCATTGAGGTCATTGAAACAAATCAAATATACTTTATCTTTCTAATGTGTCTTGGGCACCATGGAAAAAGATTATTATAATGATATCTCATAAACAATTAAGTATGGGTAATTTTAAAAAGTGTGAACATATAATATAAGAAAGAAAAACTACTCGATTGAAATAACAAAGAGACCAAATATTGTGAGTTACCTTCCATAAAACCGTGAAAAAGAAATGGAGACTCCCAGGCCATCATGACGTACATCTGGTGCGGCCATCTTGCTGGTATCTCCTTAATCACATGACCCCCGTATAGAAGAATGCTATAAATAGCCACAACGTCGTTTTTTTCAGTCACTACCTCATTAAAGATACAGTTATTGAACTCGCACAATGAAAAATTAAAAGCCTTTTTCGAGAAAAACCAAGACTGGTGGTAAAACAAAGCAATGTTGAATGTTTTGTTAGCACCAATCATATTTCTGTCATTGTTTCCATTCTTTGGATTGCATACAACAAATGGCGATTCCTTACAATATATAACTAAACTTGTATTGTATGAAACGGTAGTTGCGATTATACTCTCACTAGCGATCAAGCCCCCGATCATATTTGGATGGATCCCAGACAAAGAAACGTCAGAAAACTTGCTGTCGAGACTTCTAATGTGTTTGCACTCGTTGTTTTGAATTGTTTTGTACACGAACGTGTTCAACACACTCGACACGAAGACACACAATAGTAAGACACTCAGTAGTAGGACCGAAACCACTTTAGCGATATTTGTGTTTCTCATTGTTCAGAAAATGTGGTACCTTAAGAAACAAATTCTGCATTAAAAGTATATATATATATATATATATATATATATATATATATATATATATATATATATATATATATATATAAGCTTAATATATATGAATAAATAATGTATTTTGCTTACAGTATATGATACTTTATAATACAGTCAAGTGTATTAATTACTAACAATTAAAAACAGCATAATTTAAATTTTACAACATTAATTTGTAAGTTATTTTAAAACATAGAATGAAAAGTGTCTTAGAAAAAATTAATTAATTTTTAAAATGACTAGAACGTAAAGTATTTTTCTTAAAAAATCAAAGTTACATAATGACATTAAAGATTTTGGAAATCATAATTTTTAATTTTAAAACTCCGGAAATGTTTAATTAATTATGTAGACTAAATAGAAGAATGTTACACAATGTAACTATTTTTAAATTCAAAATACATAGCAGCACTGTTTTTTATCTTTAACCTATAAACATGTGTTATGTTTTACATAAAAATAATAATTTTAAGTAATCAATCACTATAATTTTTCCGGTATGAACTAAATGTTACTATTTTATATTTCTTTAAAATTAACACAATCTACACGACCAATACCACGGTTTTAAATGAATGCAAACGTGGAGATGTAGCGAAAGCGAACAAGTAAAAATATTCTACTATATAAACATGGAAGATCATTATAATGGATTTAAAAAATCAATTGTCGTCAAATCCTGTTAGATTTGTCTGGCTTGTGTTATCCAATTCAATCAGAGGTTCCCATAATGTGCAATGTGTACCCCACGTTGATGCTGTGGTGGGGATAGATTCCTCAGTATATAACATGACATGGGATTAAATAAAAGGACACGGTGTAAGCTTAAATAAGGAATAGTTCGTTGACGCCCTGAGATTTGAAAAATTGTTATCAAATCCTGCTTAAATAACCAACTCAATTACATATTGAAACTAGGAAACAACCTATCGCGTCGAGAATTTTTTCCGTAAATGTATGAAAGCACGGAATTATACGTACAGAAGATTACGCAAAAATTTTACAAACTAATTCAGTAGCCACAAATGAGGGAAGAAACTCTAAATTTAAATAAATCTTTGGTTAACTACAGTTTAATCTACTGAAGCAGATACCAGAAGATTATCGTGGATTATGGGCTATAAATCCTAGACTTTTTAATATTATTTTTTAGGATATCTGGTTCATAGTGGATAAAATGCAGATACGGCATAATTTTTTGAACAATAAATTGATAGATAACAGTTGTGATTTACGAACAGCCTATTGCTAAAACACAGAATACAAACAGAGCCGAGGATAAAAACAGCCTAATCACTCAGACTAGTTGATTTATTGTTTTAATTTTATAAGAAGTTACATATCTGGCTTTTGAAAAAAAACATTTATAGTATTCCTTTTTTTTTGTTTTTAGTGGGAATATTCATTTAATTTATTTAAATATATGTTTTATAGTCAACATTTAATGTTTTGGTGTATGTGTTTATATATATATATATATATATATATATATATATATATATATATATATATATATATATATATATATATATATATATATATATATATATATATATATATATATATATATATATATATATATATATATATATATATATAGGCACAAAGAGGCATAGTGATCAGTAGACAAAACCATATTTCTATTTATTTGAATAAACAATGCAGATTTCCATGAATTTTAGAAAAATGAACCGGCAGCATTTGTGAAAAAACAAATTCGCCAGGACTGTCAAAGGTTTTAGATCGATCTATATCAGTGCAAAAACATGTAATCCCCCTTTAAATACAAACAGTAACATGCTTTGAACATTGAATTTATTTTATTTGTATTTAACTTAAAATTTTAGGGTTGTGAACCCTATAAAGTATAAAAATCGATTTTTGTGATATAAATTTTTATTTTTGTACCAAACATAAAGTGATAGATTTTTTGACGTACATAGTTGGGTGAATACGTTCTCCTCGTGAATATGTCCTCAGCGTATCATTTTTTACGAACCTTTGCTTCTTTTACTCAATTTTATTAACACGTTTTTATTTACTCAGCTTCGCGTTTGTGTGTTTGTTGTTAAAATTGACATCGAAAATTAGCCAACTTCTGATTGCTCTAGAGACCTGAAATTTGGCATGCAACCCAGGTTCGAATCCTGGTCGCTCAAGATTTTTTTTTAGTCCGTGTATTTATAAACACTTTTTTTAAAAACCACGTGTTTCATGTGTAGCAACGGACTAAAAAGGAGAAAATAAAATACTTAAAAAAACTTTTTAAAAAACCACGTTTTTCTTGTGGACTAAAAAGTAGAAAATAACTATTTACATACATTTGATGACAAAAAACGTGGGTACGTTCACCATCAAATTTCCCGACCCATCTGCCCGACCCACGTTTTTTGTCATCAAATGTATGTAAATAGTTATTTTCTACTTTTTAGTCCACAAGAAAAACGTGGTTTTTTTTAAAGTTTTTTTTTAAGTATTTTATTAAAAAATTGTATTTCATACGCAAAATTATACGTCAATTCTTATGTAACACTTGGCGCGTTTAATGTTTTTAAAGATTTTATTTAACATGCTTCCTCTGTCTGTCGTCATATTATATTGAAACAGACGAGCGAAATTTCGGGCATTTCTGACCGACCAAATTCTCTGAAATTCAGCACGTGGGTCAAAACTTGAAGACAATGCAATATATCATTAAATTTGACTCAATTGAATGCCTAATTAAGTTTTTTTTATGAATAAATTTAAGTTTTATGAAATTAGTAGGCTGTCTTATTACTCTTTCCGAAATATTATACGTGCATTATCATGTTTGTTTGGTTCGCTATAGTTTTTAGTCATTTAACTCTATAGTAAGTTAAAAATTTAAAGTACTGAAAAAAATTGCATAAAAACGTTTTATAATAACAACCTTTTATTTAATAATACACTAAAAAGGAGAAGATAATTATTTTCTTAAAATATATAATATTACATTACTATTTAAATAACTGTAAAGAAAAGCATGGGTCTCTTCCTAAATATAAGTAAAGGTATGCAATAGATAATAAATCACTCTTTTCTTTATAGTTATTTAAATTGGAGTGTATTACTTTATTTGAAGAAAATAATTTATGTTCTGTTTTTTAGTGCTTTATTACATACAAGTTTGTTATTAAAACGTTCTTATGCAATTATTATTTTTAATTAACATTTACTTTTTACTACATTTAAAGCAATTATTAAAAAGCTGGTTGACTACAGAAACATACGCAAAAGTACCCGTCGATTATTATGTAACTCTTGGCATTTATACTATTTTAAAATTAAAATTTCATTTTTTATATTTAACGCGGAGACTCGGGATTTTAAAAATGTTAAAACTGAAATTCTAGTTGTTAGATCTATAAAATTTTAATTCCTAACCTAAGCTGAGCTTACAATCGAGTCTTAATATTTCAATATTTGAATTTGTTTTACATAATAAAATCTGCGTGTAAATACAAGATTAGCTTTATCCCACACATTACGAGTGATTAAGAAGACGATTCCTAAACAGTAAACTATTTCTTCTTTGTGTAATATATTTAAATGCGTTTTTTTTATAACTGAAAACCTGCCGAGTCTTAAGCTCTTATCAATATACAGTTTCATTTGTAAATATGTGCATTTTAGCAATGCAGCATATTTTTTTATTGTTAGCGATGAAGAGATTGGTGGAAAATTCTCCTCATATGAAAAAAAATCCTTGGGCTTGCATTTTTTTAGCTTAATAGAAACATTTTTTTTAAATATCTGCAATGAATTTGAAACGTTTTTATTAACGTTTATGCTAAGGTATATGGTATAGATAGTAAATGGTATGTATTCTTTCAGAGATGTATGACGCTCAAAAGACGTTTCAGTGCAAACTGTTAGAGAGATATTTCCACAGTCGTGAAAGATAGTATTTTTGTGTCATCCACTATGGTTTTCATTAGTCTAGCGTTTGGTATTTAGCATTTTAGCACAGAATATTACGTATTTCGGTCATTCAATGATTCTGTAGTATTAGCGGTTCGGGTAGAAATAGTGCCAGGTTCATTGGTTGCAACTGACGGTAGTGATCTTGTTGAGAGTGTTGGTCAGTTAGTTTTTTACGCCCTGGTAGACATTTAAATGTTACCCTTTAGAACGTAAATGCTTTTAATAGTTATTAACCTATAGACATAAAGTATTCTTTCGCCTTTAACAGTTCTGATTGCAATTAAAATCGCGAAAATGTGTGAAAATCAACACCTTTTTAAAACTCAAAAATAGAAAAAAATAAATCCCATCTAATTACAAGTCAAGATTATTTATTCCATTCTATGCATTTCTACGTTTTTTGATAGCTAGAAAGCAATTTAACTCATTTTTTTTCAACAAACGCGATAGAAAAATAAGGGCTTAGTGGGGTACCGTACGCATGGGAGGGAGTAGCAGGTGGAATTCATCTGTTTCATTAAAAATCAGCCTAGTGTGGTCAGGGAAGGTGTGGTCAGTACATGAGCTAGGCCACGCTGTCCCATATTGTCAGCACCACGCCCAGCTGCGTAAGTTTTCCTTAACTTGAGTCAGGTACAAATCAGAGCTTTGTCGTACGCTCTACTATCTGCACACTTCGTCTTTTTTTGGTTAGTGAAAATTTATTAGCCCTATTTTCTCTTTAAGGTTTAGAAATAAAACTGTATATTTAATGTATTATTATATGCCGTTTCTTAAACTTGATCATTATGGATATAACTATAAACAGATATCCTTTACATGTCGTTCGAGTGTTAGGGCTCTTTATCTTTTTAAAAATACACACATATTTCATTACAATGACAAGTGGGGTTTTGCTGACAATAATTAAGAACATAACATGCTAAGCTGGGTACAATGAAGCATATTTATGAGAAAACTCAAGTGATAGTTTGACCCACCGTAAGCTACAGGCAAAAATGTCACATGAAAAATGGACACTAAAATTTAAAAAAAAAAATATTTTAATCAGAAACCAGAAGAAGAAAAAAATTTAAAATGTTCCATTTTTAAGAAAAATTAACACAGCCTCTCAGCGAAATCTGAAAAGAAAAATAAAGAAAAAATTAATATATATCTTTGGGATCTTGATCGCATTGACTTCCACCTACAAACCACTCTCTCACGTTGTACACTTTGGGTTCAATTTTCTTAGTGTTTAGAGCTTTACATAAGGTACAGCCTGCTGATTTAAAATAGTCGTCTGTTTCTCTATAGAGATCTATGTGTTCTAAATACTTGCTGTAACTCTCAATATCTGAGCCCAATTTTAGCAGGAATAAAGCCAAATCTTTGGCCGTTCTAAAATTGGCCGCGTTAATGAAAGTGTTCTCCGGAAAATATTTCTCGTAGTCGACTTTCCCTCTCACAACTGGGACGACATGGGTGCCTTTCCTGAAAAGTTTGAAAAATTTCTCCGTGACGTAATCTTGACAGAGAGAGTTCTCGAACGATAGATAGAATTTGTAGGTGGGAGTCAGTGACTCCATGCAAGGCGGTTCTTCATCGCAATATTTTCCACATGCGCCTCGAACATCGACGTCTATGTATTTCTGTGTGTTTAAAAATAAAATAATGTAAGGAAAACGAGACGAAATTGGATTTACAAGAAAAACTTTACAAGCCAGAATAAATTTAATAAACTATAAAAGATGCATAAAGTCTTGCTAATTCTACACAAAAAAAGAAGTGTTCTATTTTTGTACGATTTTTTTTAAAATATTAATTTGTACACATAGGATTTTTTTTAATTTAAAAGATTAATTTTCGTTGTAATACAAATAGTGCAACGAATATTAAGTATTACTTATCATACAGTACATACTTTGTAATTTACTTGGTGTTTTTATTTATAAAGTAGTTGTGTGCTGTAGTTGTTTCGTTTTTTTTTTTTTTTTTTTTTTTTTTTGGTCTCTTTTTAATAATCATTTTCTTAAAACTCTATTAAACTCATTAAACGAGCTAACAAACCTTTTTTTATCGTCGAACGCATCCAAATCATGGTTTATCACTCTTTGAAAATATTGTATTCGCACATTTAAAAATGGTTAATATATTAAATACACTCCATTGAGATAACTAAATTGAAGTAAATCTGTACCTTCATTTCCTTGATGTATTCGTATCTCTTTGACTCCACCAGACAATGGCCACTCAACCACATCACTGATCTTGTTTTGTTCCGAGCTATTTCCCCTGAAAATAAACCGCGGCAATAAGCATTACACACGTTTCTTCAATGATTTTCAGCGTGTGGACACAAGACGTTGGATTCTTCCGTCTCGGTGACCTGGATGGTCGGCGCCATCAGGTTGGTGAAGCTGATGGTTACTGAACTGAAAGGTTTCTAGCACTATATAAGAGATTAGGATCTACAGCTGGGTACAGCAAACCTTCTAGGAGATAAAAACTATAAATTTAAAAAGAACTGCTGCCTTTTAGGTTCAGGTTGTTATATGATGTACATTGCTATGGAAGCAAATCCAAAAACAAATCAGCCTAAAATCGGCGTCAACTATCTAAGTGGCGCATAACAAGTTTAAACGTAATACTTACTGTGATGTAGGAAATACATTCCTACATTACAATTAAGAACGAAGAAGAAGAAAAGTTACCCAGGCTTATAAATGGGTAATGAATACAATCCTTTTAAAGTTTCCCTTTCAAACCTGACGGTCTATGGGGCAAGTGAAGTAGAGTTCACTTGTTTCTGTGACCTCGGCATATGAAGAATACAATCCTTGACATAACATTAAACATACGCATAGTTTTCAATATAATTCTAACATTTACCGAAAAGTTTATCAATATTTTTATCGTTTCGAAAAGTAAGGTTTGTATATAGCTCAGACAAAACTGAACCCTTCTTCTATATACTTACACTACACTGCAAACAAACAGAAACCTGTTGCAAAACCTAAAACTTACTGTAGTTTGGTCTCTCATTTAACGGCTGAGGCTTGAAGGCAAGTCTGGAGTACGGTGTGAAGATATCAGAGTCTACTCTATACGTCATGGACAGGTTAAAAGATTTCACCCATTCTGACGTTTCATCTATGAATAAAATATAAAAAGTAGCCTTATAAAAGGCAAAAAAAAAATAATAACACTAATAAAATTAAACTGAAGCATTTTACTGGATGTAATTAATACTAGTATACCAAAATGTGAATACATAAACAACACATAATGTTCAAAGTTGATTACCTTCCATGAATCCGTAAAATAAATAAGGAGATTCCCAGCCCATCAGAACGTAAATCTGATGCGGCAACCTTACGCTGACGTTCTTTATTTTGTAGCTGCTGGGCATAGATCCGGCAAATATGGCCACCACATCCGACTGATTGGTGACCTCCGTCTCAGCTATACAGTTGCTGTATTCACAGTGGGAGAAGTTGAACGTCTCGGCTGTGAAGGCCCACGCATCATACCTGACGTAGGCAACTCTTGTGTGCTTTGTATTAGCGATTGAATTTACATGGTTGTCCCCCTTGTTTTCTTGACTTCTGCGTACGCAGTCAACAAAAGGCGATTCTTTACAATTCACTAGCATACTAGTGTTATACGTTACTGTTGTTGCTATGATGCTTTCATTATCGACGAATCTTCCGTTCATTTTTATACTTAGCGAAAGAGCGAATTGATATGTACTTGAATTTGATCTATGGAGTCGTTCTAAATTATTCCTCATGAATTCCCTTTGTTTCCAAGCAGCAAGGTTTATGAGCAATGCCAGCAATACAAAAAAGAGCGAAATGACGTAGCAAATAAAATTTGGATTCCGCTTCATTTTGTATTGCATTGTTGTCTAATGTAGGTCTGCTTCTTTTTTATTCAACTATTTGGTACACTATCTTAGAACCAGTAATTATTAATTCTGTACAACTTGAAAGACTTGAAATTTGACAGTGACTTTGAATCCAGTAGATACAGTAGATAAAACTGCTATTCTTTTTGTATTCTAGTTGTCATAGCTGGTATATATATATATATATATATATATATATATATATATATATATATATATATATATATATATATATATATATATATATATAATTTGTAAAATCTTAGTTTATAATTCTCAATGTACTACTGTTAACTTCATTGTCAATGGCAATATAATCATGACGATTATTTGTAAAAAAAAAATAAACGTTTGATAATTTAACATATAATTGTAGGAAATGTATCAATTAAAATTTACAGATACTAATTTCTATTTATTGTTTGGAGAATTAGTGATGACTCGGATCCTAGAAATGTTATGAGATGAGAGTTGTAAGGTACGGAAATACGGTCAATGTTGGACATTCACGTAGCTTATATTTTATATTTATTATACATCTTAATTGATAAAATAATATTTAGTTTTCTTAGGATTGTTACAGAGGAAGCTGCATATCGTGATAGCATTTGAAATTAAGATTAGGGTGATGAAAATTAAATATGTTATTTATTTATTTACACGAACTGAGGAATAATCGTATAACGTACCATTGATAATTATACTCTATCGCTATTGGTTTTAAAATTTTCGTAGCGTATAGATAATTGAATGTATTGTTTTTAAAATCTGCATTTACTTCTGAATAATATATATCCAACAGTTGGTTAGGTCTAAGTTTACGCTATGGATTATTAATAAATGTTTGTACAGATCTATACAGATTGATCCACGTTCTTAGGATGTGTAAATACTTTTCTTCTTCTTCTTCTTCGTTCTTAATTTTTAGTGCTCATCTGCCCGAGTAAATGCTTTTCAAAAATTATATTTTTTCGTGTAAATTTTAAATTGACGCTAAATACAGAACAAACAACTAATCTCAATTTTAAAAACTAAATAATTTTAAGTTTTGATAATATGTAAAACTTGTTTGGTTACCGCATAAACAACTAGTTTATAGACAATTTTATCATTTCTTCAACAATATCTATTATAATGTGAATGTAAAATCTTTGTTATTGAATTTCGAAAACATCGGTGTAAATGCCTTAAAATATCATAAGTGTTATGTTAAATTGTTTTGCGTTCATGTTTTATCAGTGATAGGAGCTCCTTGGTTAACAAGTAGTAATTCCACATACAACATTGTCCAAACAACCTATTCTAGTTTGGTGCTTTATCCCATCACACCAGGTTTCTTATCAAGAAAAGTATTCAACTCACAGCAGACCAGAAGAGGATGATAATGATAAAAAATTAAACTGAAGCATATATATATATATATATATATATATATATATATATATATATATATATATATATATATATATATATATATATATATATAAAACTTACCCATCATCTCCAAGGCAGAATCCATACTAAACCTTCTCCTCAGAAACCTCAATAAATATCTAAAGATTTAATATATCTCCACATCATTATTTTGACATATATGTGACTCTTTGTTGTTTGAATGTTATTATGTGAGTTTGATTGCTTTGTCAATAGTCGACTGTGTTGGTGTCACCAATAAGTGTGTAGCAGTTTGGCTGGGTAGTTGCTGCCGCGTTTAACTCTTAAATACTCTTCATA